GGTGGTGGCGGCGGCGGCGGCGGTGTGGCTGTTGTTGTTGTTGTTGTGGTTGTTGTTGTTGTTGCGGTTGTGGTTAGTGTAACCTCATCACTTGCCACAGTATGACGGTAAACTGTCGTTTTGGCTCCGGACCTGTGCACGGGCTCATTCCAACTTCATCTGGAAAACTGCGACGGTCCTTTGAAACGACTGTCCTGGATGCAGATCCCGAATTGGGTGTAACTTGCATTGCCGAGCATCGTCCTCATGTGTGCCGAGGTCTCAAAAGGATGAGGGAAACTTTCGTACAGTCTCCGCTGTAGTTCCTTGTTGGGGCTACCATATAGGATCCTTAGTATATAAGTGGTGAAACCAAAAAAAACTACAGCTGAGAACGTACCGAACCTTTCAACGGCAAAGACCGGCAAGGCCCAGAAAGGAACGGATCACTCTCATGAACATGAACAGGGCAAGGGTGGACTACGGACCAAGACATCCTATGTCAACACTACGACTACGAACGACGTTGATCTCTTCGGCACTCGCACTCGGACTGGCCAGGTCTTCGACTAATTAAGCTACGCAGTGGTGCGAGCGAGCATAATTCCGAGGTCTTTCTAGTTACCCTGCACCCGCCCGAAGTCTATCTTTAGCGTGCCTGCGCAGGCCAAGTAATCATGCGGCCGCAACCCTAACCGAAAAATGTGACAACAAACGGCGGGCCTACTTTGTAGACGCTTTTGACTACCTCTGGCCCTCTTTCAGCTCCGGTGAACTGTACCGAGCGGTAGAGCTGAAAGTCTGCATCATCATTGAGCCCCTTCTCCTTCTTAGTGGGCTGCAAGGGGCATCGCATCCTGGCCGGCCGGTCGTGCGAGAGAGACGATCCACTGGTTGGCCTCTTCTGCATCCTCTTTTGGCTTCAAATCCTGCTCGTCCGGCCTGGAAAGTGTAAGGATCCATCGCCAGCTCTCGCCATCCTCCTCGGTGGTCTTCAGAGCCTCCACCTGGGGCAGCTTCTCGTCGACTTTGGTGGCTGTTTGGGGCGGCTTCTCTTGGACTTTGCGAGAGGCATCTGCAAGATCTCGAGCCTGAGATGGCAACTGCTGAATCCTGGCCGGGTCGAGAGGGTAGCAGCGGCTTCTGGGGGCAGCCGGCATAGTCTGACGCATGGCAGGGCCAGCCGTAGCCCCCACGGTGCCGAACTTGGCCGGGTAAGCAAAGGTCATCTGGGTGGTTGGCTGGGTCCCTTTCTGAAAACTTGGGGCTCTGTTAAAGTTCGGCTGCACCTTGGTCGGAAACTGCTGCGTGTAGCTCGGACGCCCAGCCAAGAGCGTGCGCGAAGGCCCACGTCCGGAAACTGCAGGCACTGTCCCGGGAGCCGGACCTGCAAACTGGACTGCCATACCTTGGACACCGGTTCCGGCCACCGCTGCCATCTGCTGGTACGTCAAAGCCATGTGCTGGGTCTAAGGAGCACTACGGCCGCGGCGGAATCCAGGCACTGTGCCCGCGACTAGAGCTTCCAAGTCTGCTCCAGCCGAAACCGCGACAACTTTCGGGTTGGGGTTGAGTCTTGCTTCGTGTGCGAGGTATGCATGTGAGCTTCCTCCTGTCTGCAGCATATGTACTGTCCGGCTCGGAGCGCCCCTCAGTGCAAGAGGAAATCCACGAAAACCTTGAGTCCCGACCTGGCCAAACCCGAATTCCGAACCCTGAACCTGAATTGGCTTCTTGTCCTGGGGATCTTAGACTTACCAGAAATTGTAAGTAATCAACGAATAAAAACACCTACTTATGAACAACAGAAAACAAGCAGTATAGTAACAATACTACTAATAGTAATACTCATAATAATAGTAAAAATAGTAATGATAACAATAAGAATAATAATAATACTAATAATAATAATAATAGTAATAATAATAATAATAACAAGAAGTACAAGTAAGTAGCAGAAAAAAACTGTTAACCAACCATGAGCATGAATGCAAATCTCATGGTGATATGTGTGAACTGACTAGTGGTTGAGAACAACAACTCATGCTCCAGGCTTAATTCGTTAAAATTGTCGAATTCTCCACCTGGAGTTAATACTCAACCGACAGAACAGCTAATAGTTTTTGATTGGCTAGGGAGCTAACCATACTTGCAAGCCAATGCCATTGTTATCGTAATTTAATATGGGTCCTTTAATTACAAAAAACCGCAACCGGAAATTCGAAGCCAAGAACCCAACAAAGCTCAAACCACCTGAGGTCAAGGACGAGTGCTCTCAGCGCATCCCAGGGGCGGCCCAGGCAAGCCTGTTTAGGGCTTTACGTGGGTTTAGGGCTGAGGGTTGTGTGACTTGAGCTTAACCCTAAACCCTGAACCGGCTCCTGGCCAGACACACAACCTCCACTGTGAAAGCCCCTTTCCTTATGTATTCTGACTAAGTGTTGTCATGCGATGAAGATGCTGCCGCGGCTCACTGGGAGGATAGCCGCTGCAGGATCACAACCATCTAACAAGACTGACATCTGACCAACTCAAAACCGCTAACCCCCGAACCCTGGGCCCGAAGCCCTGAAACCTCAAAGCCTTCAGTCCGAGCTCGAAGCCCTAAACAATACACTTCAGTAAACCTTAAACCTTAAATGACGCTAAACCCTGCACCCTAAGCCCCGAACCCTTGAAGCCCCATACTGGCCCTATAACTTAAGCTTTAACTTTGAACAACCCTAAACCCGAAACACCCAAAGCTTTGCGTCTGGGACCCTCAGCTTAGTAGAAACCAAAATCTGCGACTCGAACCCAGCTCCAGGAGCCATTTCATGGTTCACCTGGACCCTGAAATAATCCACCTTTCTAGGAATCCTCATTACAGTTTCCTTTATAATAAGTCCTACACATGGTAGGCTAAACCCTAAACCCTAAACCCAGGCTGTTTGGGGCATTCAGGTAGTAGGGAATGAAGTGTGAAGGGTCTTGGGGCATGCCGGGCTCGTGTTTAGATTCAGGGTTTGAGGGTTTGAGGGTTTAGGGTTTAGGGGCTTAGGGTTTAGGGTTTAGGGTTTAGTGTTTAGATTCAGGGTTTGAGGTTTAGGGTTTAGGGTTTAGGGGCTTGAGGTTTAGAGTTTAGGTTTAGGGTTTAGGGTTTAGGGGCTTAAGGTTTAGAGTTTAGGGTTTAGCGTACACGGCTTTATAGGAGTCAGGGTAAGCCCCAAACTCTAAAAGCTCTGCCCCGGAGACCTCACCCTGCACCTCTGGTTTGCAAGAGTCTACACACGCGCACATACACACACGGAACTTTTTGTCCTGTGGCATCTCACCAGTTTTTGTTGGATCCCGGTCTGCAGCACGTCCTCTACCAAATTCATACTGCAACCCTTAACCCAGGCCAAGGGTTTAGGGTCAGAGTTTGGGTGTTGAGTGTTGGGGATTAAGTGCATGGGAAACTGTCGCTCATTATCTCTTACAGCATGACGGAAGTGGCTCTGAGCACGTAACGCCCACCATTGCAACTGCTTGTGCTGGTAATCTAGCTCTCCTGTTACTCTCAGACACAAACCGGGGCCTGCAAATAAATCTAGTTTACAGACCAAGCATACGAACCCAAGATTATTGAAAGGCTCTTCTGTTGACCGAGCGAGGTAAGACGGCTGCGGCTCTAACAGGCGAAGTGGACACACCTCTTACCAGACATAGACACTATTCCTACCTAGCGGAGGAGCGGAAATCACGAAAAGGCCGTGCTGCTTCCGGACGCGGCTGGCTCAGACGGGAACCCAGCCTTTCAACTTTCTGTGCTAACCGTAGCTTGCAGCTGAGAGCGCAGCATGATGTGGGAAAGAATCGACTTCCTGCCCTGTTCTTGAGGCACGACAGGATTCTGATGACTTAACTCATCCTGAACAGAATGTACCAGTCGTATCCTGCAATGCAGCTCTGCATACTTGACATTCAGGGTAGCGCTAGTAGTACTAGTAGAAGCAGGCCCTGGGGTCCTTGACAGATTTGCCAAGTTTTTTTCTGCGACAATCCCGCTTCGCGGGCGAGCAATTCGGCACGTCGAACCGCCGAGGTTCGGTTTTAGGATGCCCTGCCTTTTTGGGGCTTTAGGGCTTTAGGGGTTTGGGGATCAGGGTTCGAGGGTTTGGGGCTTTTAGGATCGGGCCCAAGATGGGCCGAAGACCCAAGCCCGAGCACCTGAGGTGCCAAAGAACAACCCAGGGCTCCCTGTGTTCGGAGGAAATACGATACTTCCACGAGGTCTTTGCTTGGGAGTTGTGACCATGACGCTTCACGGAGTTTAGGTGTTACCTGCGGATCCAAAAACCCTACTGGAAAGGGGTTAGACCCTCCAGTCAAGAGGTCATAACCTACTGTTTTGTAGGGTTTTGTTGATACAGGCCGGGATTGTCTTCAGGCGTCTGGATTTTGCTTTCTGGTTGTCAGGGACTGGAGTTAGGCCGCATGCTTTTGGACTGCAGGGGATAATGAAAGCAACACGAAATAAAGCTGAAATAAAGCTGACGGTCTGCCAGATGGCTCCCTAAACCCTCAAAAGCTTTAGGGTTTACATAATGTAGGGACCTTTGCAGTTGGAACAGGATATGGGGTATAATCAGATTATAGTAACAGTAACACTTATAGTAATAGAGGCACTACCCTAAACCCTAAACCCCAACCCCCACTTTATCAGGCTTCTATCGTAAGACCCTGAATTCTTAGCAGGGTTTACATGAAGTCTACACCCTGGAGGGTTTAGGGTTTACCAGGGTCCCCAAACCCTACGAAATAGTAGGTTATGACCCCTTAAAACGGTAGGACGGTAGATTTTGGATACCCAGGTAGGGATCCAGAGGAGAGGGGTCATGCTTCAGGTACCTTCTAACCTTGGCTTAGTGTTTCTGCAATATGGGCTCTCCTCCAAGGGCTCTATAGGGTTTACGCTCTCGCAAGCAGGGCTCTCTAGGCTTTAGGGTTTGGGCTTTAGGGCTGGGTTTTGGGGGTTTACGGTTTAGGATTAGGGTTCTGGGTGTGGGACTTCTTTCACGGAGACTTCCTGCTCACCGGTATGGGCGTTTTCCTGAAAGTAGAGGTGGAAGTCCGATCCGCAAAATCTGAAAATGAAGGGCCCCAGAATTGAGCTCCACAAACACCAAAACAGAGACTTCAGAAAGCAGTATCCCTAGACAGACCTTTGCCTCATGTGCTATTTGGGTCCCTGATACTAAAACCCTAAGGCTAAACCCGAAATCCCTCAGCGGCCGCTGCCTTATTCATTAAACTTCGGGACGTCCCGACGTGGGCTTGCTGCGTGTTCGGAACCCGGGAACCGGGTATAGGGACGTGACTTCTACATGTATATAATAACACTGCTTAGAGCCCCTGTCTACGTATCAAGCTTCTTATTTATAATAAGGCCCCATGGCAACCCAGAATTCCGCGCAAGTTCGTAAAAGCCCTCAAGCTTTACTGTAAGAATTCAGGCCCCTCAACCGTACCCGGGTTCGGAACACGGCAGCTGAAACCCCCCTCTCTTGAGGAGACTTCCAGCCCGCAGCTCGAAAAGCTTACGGTTTCTCTGGTGTTGCCGAGTAACCAGGGTACCTTGATTAGGGCCGTAATCTGTTTTGAGGTACATCGGGTTGCTCTTGGTGATGCTTACGGCTTTCAGGGTGGAGGGACTTTGGGTGTAGGAAGTTTAGGCAGCTACGGTTTGGGGATTTAGGTTTCAGGCCCTAGAATTCAGGAGGGATCAGAATCTACTAGTTTGTAGGGTTCGGGGCTACAGGTAATGTTTAGGGTTCAATCTAAACAGTTGACAAAGCTCTGAAGTCAAAACTCAACGTACATCTTACCATAAGTTCTGAGCTCCCAAACGCTTGTGATCGCAGAACCTCAGGAACTCCCATTAAAAGGTCCCACAGAAACATAAACCTGATCACAGAAAAGTGTCGGGGCCTTTATTTTGGCAAGATTGAATAGTGTGCTGTACTATGGCTATGACTTTATCGAGGAACCCTGTGGAATATTCCCACGAATAGTTCAAGTATCATGACTGTCTCAGCGACATTCGAACGATTTTGGGTTCAGGCTTCTTGGTTTCTATGCGGGTCAGCGTGTGACGCTTCTGCTACTGCTGCTACTGCTACTACTGCTTGCTGCTGCTGCTGC